GTTTTTTGATAAAATGCCCCAATTTTAAAATGTTACCATACACTTGTAAAATAAGGAAATTCTCATATTTTCGTATTTTTCTCGATATCTATGCATCTGAGAGCAAAAGTGCAAGAGAGCAATATTGTTAAGAATAAAATTTGCTACAACTTTTGTTTAAAAAGTTTTTTGATAAAATGCCCCAATTTTAAAATGTTACCATACACTTGTAAAATAAGGAAATTCTCATATTTTCGTATTTTTCTCGATATCTATGCATCTGAGAGCAAAAGTGCAAGAGAGCAATATTGTTAAGAATAAAATTTGCTACAACTTTTGTTTAAAAAGTTTTTTGATAAAATGCCCCAATTTTAAAATGTTACCATACACTTGAAAAATAACGAAATTCATCAAATTCTCATATTTTCGTATTTTTCTCGATATCTATGCATCTGAGAGCAAAAGTACAAGAGAGCGAAATTGTAAAGAACAAAATTTGCTACAACTTTTGTTCTAAAAGTTTTTTTGTAACATGCTTCGATTCCCAAATGTTACCATTAGCTAGTAGCAAAACAAGGAAATTCAACAGATTTGCAAATTTTCGTATTTTTCTCGATATTGATGCATCTAAGAGCAAAAGAGCAAGAGAGCAATATTGTTAAGAATAAAATTTGCTACAACTTTTATTCGAAAAGTTTTTTTGTAACATGCTTCGATTCCCGAATGTTACCGTTGTTACCAAAACGAGGAAATTATATATATCTATATAATATATATATAAATTTAAGGGGAAATCGATCACGCCCAAAAACGTTTTTTAATAACTTTTCTTCTACAATCGTTGTGTTCTCACGATCCATCATCATCATCATCGCGTTTTGTCTCTCGCCCCGTTTAAATTCGTGCGCTCTCATTTGCATGGCCGGCTACCACTACAACTATCTTTCTGGTCGAAGGGACGACCCTTATAAAATAATAAAATATAAAAAGGGGGGGTTTTATGTTTTATGTTCGGTTTGGTTCTCGAACGAGGAGGATGAGAGATTTTTCTTCAACCTGGTGGTATTAACCTTTATGCAGATGATGCCTATAGTTTTTTAGGGGTGTTTTTTTATCTTTCACCCTGACAACCCTTTAATTTAACGTGCGCGTTTATGCACCGCGACGTTTAAGGATGGGAATGAACGGGACGAAAAAAAATGTAAAAACGAAGAGAAAAAAATGAAGGAAGGTAACCGTTCAAATAGAAAAAAAAACAGTGGATGTAAAAAAAGTTTTTGGGTAATCAAAAAAAAAGAAAGGTAAAAAAGAATTGGAATGACGGTTTCATATCCCTTTTTTTTATGATTGATGTTGATCTTGAAAAATTCGGTGGAAATCGTTTATGATGTTAATAAAAAGAGTTTAAAGCAAATCAAGTCTTGTATTAATATGATGTTATCTAATTAAGCCGAGGTCAAATGTACAAGAACATGTTAAGAACAAAATTTGTTACAACTTTTGTTCTAAAAGGTTTTTACAATTAGCTAATAGTAAAATCAAAAAATTTATCAAATTTTTATATTTTCGTATTTTTTTCGATATTGACGTATCTGAGAGCAAAAGTGAAAGAGAGCAATATTGCTAAGAATAAAATTTGCTACAAGTTTTGTTCTAAAAGTTTTTTTGTAACATGCTTCGATTCCCGAATGTTACCATTAGCTAATAATAAAACAACGAAATCATCAAATTTTCATATTTTCGTATTTTTCTCGATATTGACGTATCTGAGAGCAAAAGTCAAAGAGAGCAATATTGCTAAGAATAAAATTTGCTACAACTTTTGTTCTAAAAGTTTTTTTGTAACATGCTTTGATTCTCGAATGTTTCCATTAGCTAATAGTAAAACAAGGAAATTCATCAAATTATCAATTTTTCGTATTTTTCTCAATATTGACGCATCTGAGAGCAAAAGTCAAAGAGAGCAATATTGCTAAGAATAAAATTTCCTATAACTTTTGTTCTAAATGTTTTTTTGTAACATGCTTCGATTCTCGAATGTTACCATTAGCTAATAGTAAAACAACGAAATCATCAAATTTTGATATTTTTGTATTTTTCTCGATATTGACGCAACTGAGAGCAAAAGTAAAGGAGAGCAATATTGTTAAGAATAAAATTTGCTACATCTTTTGTTCTAAAAGTTTTTTTATAGCATGCTCCAATTCCGAAGTATTACCATTACCTACTTAAAACAACGAAATTCATCAAATTTTCATACTTTCGTATTTTTCTCGATATTGACGCATCTGAGAGCAAAAATGCAAGAGAGCAATATTGTTAAGAATAAAATTTGCTATAACTTTTGTTCTAAATGTTTTTTTGTAACATGCTTCGATTCTCGAATGTTACCATTAGCTAATAGTAAAACAACGAAATCATCAAATTTTGATATTTTTGTATTTTTCTCGATATTGACGCAACTGAGAGCAAAAGTAAAGGAGAGCAATATTGTTAAGAATAAAATTTGCTACATCTTTTGTTCTAAAAGTTTTTTTATAGCATGCTCCAATTCCGAAGTATTACCATTACCTACTTAAAACAACGAAATTCATCAAATTTTCATACTTTCGTATTTTTCTCGATATTGACGCATCTGAGAGCAAAAGTGCAAGAGAGCGAAATTGTAAAGAACAAAATTTGTTACAACTTTTGTTCTACAAGTTTTTTTGTAACATGCTTCGCTTCCCGAATGTTACCATTAGCTAATAGTAAAACAAGGAAATTCATCAAATTTTCGTATTTTTCTCAATATTGACGCATCTGAGAGCAAAACTGAAAAAGAGCAATATTGTTTAGCGCAAAATTTCCTACATCTTTTGTTCTAAAAGTTTTTCTGTAGTATGTCCGAATCCCGAGTTCTATGCACTATATAAATATACAGTTGCGATAGTGTAAACACAAAAATACATACTAACGAGTGCGTTCATAGAAACGAGGCCGTAATTAAATAAATTAACTTTATTACTTAAAATAATAAAGCTGTAATTTTTTTCTGAATATTTTTTTGAACAATTTTTCCTACAACAACGTTTTTAACGTTCCCTTGATCCTTGATTCCCAAGATTCCCAAGAAATCTAATACGCTCCATCTCTTTAAAATACCACCTCCACAACTACCAATCACAAGGAGAAATTAAATTAATTGAAGAGATTAATGATTAGTAACACATTCTTTTTATAGTTTCATTCGATTCGCATCAAAAAATCCTTTAAAATGAGCCCAAACACATCATAATTATCTTAAACGGTTTCGGAGATATTCAAAAAAGTAATTTCTCCGATAGAGGGCGTATTAATTTCAATTTTTTTGTTTTTAATAGGAAATACATCGTGTTTGGTACCAAATTAATCGGGATTAAACGTAGAATTCAAATTTTTTGGTTTTAAAACATTTTAGGATTAATTATAAATATTTAACCTAAAAATAATATATTTTTTTTAATGATTTTGTGTATTAATTCTTTTTAAAAATTAAAAATCCTTCAAAATGAGCCCAAACACATCATAATTATCTCAAACGGTTCCGGAGATATTCAAAAAAATGTTTTTTTCCGATAGAGGGCGTATTAATGTTGTCAAATTTTTGTTTTTAATAGCAAATATGTCATGTTTGGTATCAAATTAATCGGGATTAAACGTAGAATTCAAATTTCTTACTTCCAAAATATTATTGGGTTAATTATAAATATTTAATCTAAAAATAAAATATTTTTTTTAATGATTTTGTGTATTAATTCTTGTTAAAAATTAAAAATCCTTCAAAATGAGGCCAAACACAACATAATTATCTTAAACGGTTCAGGAGATATTCAAAAAAATGTTTTTTCCGATAGAGGGCGTATTAATGTTGTCAAATTTTTGCTTTTAATAGCAAATATGTCATGTTTGGTATCAAATTAACCGGGATTAAACGTAGAATTTAAATTTTTTGGTTTTAAAACATTTTGGATTAATTATAAATATTTAACTAAAAAATAACATTTTTTTTTTATGATTTTGTGTATTAATTCTTATTAAAAATTAAAAATCCTTTAAAACGAGCCCAAACACATCATAATTATCTTAAACGGTTCCGGAGATATTCAAAAAATTGTTTTTTCCGATAGAGGGCGTATTAATGTTGTCAAATTTTTGCTTTTAATAGCAAATATGTCATGTTTGGTATCAAATTAACCGGGATTAAACGTAGAATTTAAATTTTTTGGTTTTAAAACATTTTGGATTAATTATAAATATTTAACTAAAAAATAACATTTTTTTTTTATGATTTTGTGTATTAATTCTTATTAAAAATTAAAAATCCTTTAAAACGAGCCCAAACACATCATAATTATCTTAAACGGTTCCGGAGATATTCAAAAAATTGTTTTTTCCGATAGAGGGCGTATTAATGTTGTCAAATTTTTGCTTTTAATAGGAAATATGTCATGTTTGGTATCAAATTAATCGGGATTAAACGTAGAATTCAAATTTTTTGGTTATAAAACATTTTGGGATTAATTACAAAAATGTAACCTAAAAATAATATTTTTTTAATGATTTTGTGTATTAATTCTTTTTAAAAATTAAAAATCCTTTAAAATGAGCCCAAACACATCATAATTATCTCAAACCGTTTCGGAGATATTCAAAAAAGTAATTTCTCCGATAGAGGGCGTATTAATTTCAATTTTTTTGTTTTTAATACGAAATATGTCGTGTTTGGTATCAAATTAATCGGGATTAAACGTAGAATTCAAATTTCTCACTTTTAAACATTTTTCGATTAACCCCGCATACATAACATCAAAATAATATCGTTATATGAATATAAATAATTTAAAACGAGCCCAAACACGATGGGGTTATCTTTAAAAACATAATATATATATAAATATAAAATAATATAAAAAGCGTCGTATCTCGCTTGTTTTTGAAGATAACCCCGTCATGTTTGTACTCGTTCCACGTGTTTTTTCGATTCGAATCGTTTTACGCACCTCTTGATTCCACGACATGTAGTGGGAAACGGCCGGATCCATTTCCGCCATCACCGACATCCAATGTACGAGACCTTGAGCCCCTTGGGTGCCCATCGCTCCGGATTGGGGCGCCCCGGGATTTCCCGCCGTCTGGGTCCCATCCGACCAACCAAAAGCCTTCTGAAACAAAGATAAAATTATTTTTTGCGATTATTTTAATGATTTTTTTTTTGGATTACTTTGCAAAGCATATTTTTGTAAACGTTCGTTTTATCATCGTTGGAACAACTCGTTGATGACGATAAGACGGCTTTGGCTAATAGGGTTTTGTAGAATTGAGTCGGAAGTAAGAGTTGGTTGTTGTTGTAGGAGTCGAGTTTGTTGACGAAAGAGGCCGTTTTATAGAAAATGTCGTTGTTGTTCGATGAGATGGAGGGGGACGCGGTGGAGGAGGCGTGCACCAGGTCCGCGGAGGAGGAATTCGACGAATCCGAACTGTCGATTATCGTGTTGTTGTCTTCGCGGAGAGCCGTCATTTTAATTTAAGGTTAATTTATAAAAAATATCTTTTTTATTTTTGTACTTTTCTATAGGAACTTGTTTATGTATCTTAATGTTGTTACTTCATCTTTATGATTTATGATGAATTAGTTTTGTTATGGGAGGAACTTGATGACACTTTCACTTTTAAAAGAGACTTCGGAGGGGTGGTTCCCCCACCCAAGTTTGCTTTTCTCCGTTTTTAATTAGACATGGTGAATTTGGGGTCACTTGTTAAAGAAAAGGGGGTGGGATGGGAAGGACGTGGTAAATGTAACGTGGTTGTCGTCTTCGTGGAGGTGTTTGTTGGGGGTGGAGGGGATCTATTTGGGGGGTGGGTTGTTAGCGCGTGCCCACTACTAAATTTTCACTCTCGGAGGCGAGGTTCTGTCTAATTAGCGAACGGAACTCATTGCATCCACGGCGGCGTCGGCGACGGCACCCAACACTCCGAATCAGCGAACCCGCGGTTTTTCTTCTTTGAGATTTCCACCGTTCTAAGTCCGAAGTTCGACTGAACCTCTCTCCACCTCCTTGGTTTCTGTGGAAAGTAGGTTACGTTCCGGCTCTGGAAATAAGAACTGAAAAAAAATGGGTAAAAAGACGACCAGGAAAATACACGGCGGACCGAGTAGAAGAAGACAGGCACCCCCCTTCAACCCCCGACGAGCCCCGACGCCATCTACGTTCGAGGAAAAAAAGAGCAGCGCTAACGAAAAATAGTCTCCAACCGAAAAAAAAAGAGAAATAATAAAAGAAAAAAGCATCCCCGTGCAGAGCTCCCCGAGAAAAAATAACACTAAAAAAAAGTAGACCTGGTGCTCGGAGTCGTGCGAGCGCAAGAAAGACGGAAAAAATGCATGTACCATATATACTCCTCCTTCCTTACGTCTTTTTCCCCCCTTTTAAGGCCCGGTGCATGTAACTCCTTCTCGCTTCAACTCAACCCACCCCCCGCGCCGCCGCCGCCGCCGCCGCCACCGCTTTTTCTTTCTCTGGGGAGACGGCGGTGCATCGCGCTCCCCACCACTTTCTATATATATATTGATTGGGTATCTCAAGCCAGACGCGGCGCCCAACGCGAAAAACTCCTTCGAAACGAAAAAATCATCCCCAACCCCATCACCTCCAGGTGATTCGATCCTTAAGCAACCCCAAATACGCACCAACAAAAAAAAATCATCTTATTAAAATTAATTAATTAAATAAATCATATATATAAAATATATATACTTTAAGACTCCCCCCCCGTTCAAAATTTCCAACCACGACGCGACGATTTTAAAAAGAACTCGATGGTGGGGGTTAAAAATCGGTGGGGGAGGAAAGTAAAAGAGAGAGACTGGAAAAGTCCGTCAACACACACAACAACAACGACGACAAGAAAACGAAACGAAACGAAACGAACGAGACTAACGAGAAAGATGGAGAGAGAGAAAAACGTTGGAAAAGAGGGTTTTGGAGGGGGGGGAAAAGGTTTGAAACCGAAAGTGGTCGGTAATTAACTCCGGGGGGAAAGTAGTTTTCACTTTTAAAACTTGGGGGATGAGAGAATCGCGATTTACTACGACGACGTTTTGAATAGAAAGAAAATTTTTGTTAGAAAACGATTTTTTTTCTTCTTACTACTTTTTTTATTATTTTTTTTTTTAAGTTATATGAGGATAAAAAGGGTGGGGGACGACGACGCGGAGGGATCGATTTTCTCGAAATCGTGTAGACGTTCCACGAAGAACAAAAAAAATTAAAAAATTTAATTTGTTTTAAATGTATAGTTAAAAAATGATTTTAAACCCAACTCGGCGGGGTTTAATATAAAACTAAAATTTGATTAATTTAATTCGAAATTGTTAAAGAAAATTAAAAATCCTTTAAAATGAGTCCAAACACGATGGGGTTAACTTTAAAAATACGCGAGATATGAATACTTTTATAACGAACGATTGTCGATTGTTTTTTATTATATAACAAGTGATATCTCGGTTATTTTTTGAGATAACCCCATCAAGTTTGATGTTATTTTGAAGGATTTTTAATCCTCTTTAAGATATAAACAACAAAATTTATATTTAATGATATTTAATTGTTGGGTTTAAAAATTTTATTGATTTAGAATCAAATTCGTTTTCCTCATTAAAAAATATTTAAAATAAGCCCAAACACCCTATAGTTATCTTTAAAAATGGCCGAGATATGATTATTTTAATATTGAGTGATCGTCGATTGTTTTTTTGTTATAATCCGAGATATCTCGATTATTTTATGAGATAACCCCATCGAGTTTGGTGTTAATTTTAATAATTTTTCATTCCCTTTAAGATAAAATCAATGAAATTAATATTCGATGATATTTTATTTTTAGGTTAAATTATGAAGAAAATTTTTTTTAATGATTTATGATCAAATTTATATTCCCCATTAAAAAACATTCAAAATAAGCCCAAACACCCTATAGTTATCTTTAAAAATGGCCGAGATATGATTATTTTAATATTAAGTGATCGTCGATTGTTTTTTTGTTATAATCCGAGATATCTCGATTATTTTATGAGATAACCCCATCGAGTTTGGTGTTAATTTTAATAATTTTTCATTCCCTTTAAGATAAAATCAATGAAATTAATATTCGATGATATTTTATTTTTAGGTTAAATTATAAAAGAAAAATTTTATTGATTTATAATCAAATTCGTCTTCCTCATTAAAAAACATTCAAAATAAGCCCAAACACCCTATAGTTATCTTTAAAAATAGCCGAGATATGATTATTTTAATATTGAGTGATTGTCAACTGTTTTTTTGTTATAAATCAAGATATCTCGCTTATCTTTTAAGATCACCTTATCGAGTTTGGTGTCAATTTTAATAATTTTTCATTCCCTTTAAGATAAAATCAATTAAATTTGTATTTAATGATATTTAATTTTTAGGTTAAATTGTGAAAATACAAATTTAATGATTTAGAATCAAATTCGTTTTCCTCATTAAAAAATATTCAAAATAAGCCCAAACACCCTATAGTTATCTTTAAAAATGGCCGAGATACGATTATTTTTATATTGAGTGATTGTCAACTGTTTTGTTGTTATAAACCGAGATACCTCGCTTATCTTTTAAGACAACCTTATCGAGTTTGGTGTCAATTATAATAATTTTTTATTCCCTTTAAGATAAAATCAATGAAATTAATATTCGATGATATTTTATTTTTAGGTTAGATTATGAAGAAATTTTTTTTAATGATTTATGGTCAAATTCATATTCCCCATTAAAAAACATTCAAAATAAGCCCAAACACCCTATAGTTATCTTGAAAAATAGTCAAGATATGATTATTTTAATATTGAGTGATTGTCAACTGTTTTTTTGTTATAAACCAAGATATCTCGCTTATCGTTTAAGATAACCTTATCGAGTTTGGTGTCAATTTTAATAATTTTTCATTCCCTTTAAGATAAAATCAATGAAATTAATATTCGATGATATTTTATTTTCAGGTCAATTTATGAAAAAAAAATTTTTAATGATTTTTGATCAAATTCATATTCCCTATTAAAAAACATTCAAACTAAGCCCAAACACTCCATATTTATCTTTAAAAACACCCGAGATACGATTATTTTTATACTGAGTGATCGTCGATTGTTTTTTTGTTATAATCTGAGATATCTCGGTTATTTTTTGAGATAACCCCATCGAGTTTGGTATCATTTTCAATAATTTTTTATTCCCTTTAAGATAAAATCAATGAAATTAATATTCGAAGATATTTTATTTTTTGGTCAATTTATGAAAAAAATTTTTTAATGATTTATGATCAAATTCATATTCCCCATTAAAAAACATTCAAAATAAGCCCAAACACCCTATAGTTATCTTTAAAAATGGCCGAGATATGATTATTTTAATATTAAGTGATCGTCGATTGTTTTTTTGTTATAATCTGAGATATCTCGGTTACTTTTTGAGATAACCCCATCGAGTTTGGTGTCATTTTCAATAATTTTTTATTCTCTTTAAGATAAAATCAATGAAATTAATATTCGATGATATTTTATTTTTAGGTTAGATTATGAAAAAAATTTTTTTAATGATTTATGGTCAAATTTATATTCCCCATTAAAAAACATTCAAAATAAGCCCAAACACCCCATAGTTATCTTTAAAAATGCCCGAGATATGATTATTTTAATATTGAGTGATCGTCGATTGTTTTTTTGTTATAATCTGAGATATCTCGGTTATTTTTTGAGATAACCTCATCGAGTTTGGTATCATTTTCAATAATTTTTTATTCTCTTTAAGATAAAATCAATTAAATTTGTATTTAATGATATTTCATTTTTTAGGTTAAATTGTGAAAATAGAAATTTAATGATTTAGAATCAAATTCGTTTTCCTCATTAAAAAACATTCAAAATAAGTCCAAACACTCCATATTTATCTTTAAAAACACCCGAGATACGATTATTTTTATGCTGAGTGATCGTCGATTGTTTTTTTGTTATAATCCGAGATATCTCGATTATTTTATGAGAGAACCCCATCGAGTTTGGTGTCATTTTCAATAATTTTTTATTCTCTTTAAGATAAACTCAATGAAATTAATATTCGAAGATATTTTATTTTTTTGTCAATTTATGAAAAAAAATTTTTTAATGATTTATGATCAAATTCATATTCCCCATTAAAAAACATTCAAAATAAGCCCAAACACCCTATATTTATCTTTAAAAATAGCCAAGATATGATTATTTTAATATTGAGTGATTGTCAACTGTTTTTTGGTTATAAACCGAGATATCTTGCTTATCTTTTAAGATAACCTTATCGAGTTTGGTGTCAATTTTAATAATTTTTCATTCCCTTTACGATAAAATCAATGAAATTAATATTCGATGATATTTTATTTTTAGGTTAGATTATTAAGAAAAATTTTTTAATGATTTATGATCAAATTCATATTCTCCATTAAAAAACATTCAAAATAAGCCCAAACACCCTATAGTTATCTTTAAAAATAGCCGAGATATGGTTATTTTAATATTGAGTGATTGTCAACTGTTTTTTTGTTATAAACAAAGATATCTCGCTTATCTTTTGAGATAACCTTATCGAGTTTGGTGTCAATTTTAATAATTTTTCATTCCCTTTAAGATAAAATCAATGAAATTAATATTCGATGATATTTTATTTTTAGGTTAAATTATGAAGAAAATTTTTTTAATGATTTATGATCAAATTCATATTCCCCATTAAAAAACATTCAAAATAGTTATCTTTAAAAATGGCCGAGATACGGTTATTTTTATACTGAGCGATCGTCGATTGTTTTTTTGTTATAATCCGAGATATCTCGATTATTTTATGAGATAACCCCATCGAGTTTGGTGTCATTTTCAATAATTTTTTATTCTCTTGAAGATAAACTCAATGAAATTAATATTCGAAGATATTTTATTTTTAGGTTAATTTATGAAAAAAAAATTTTTAATGATTTATGATCAAATTCATATTCCCCATTAAAAAACATTCAAAATAAGTCCAAACACCCCATATTTATCTTTAAAAACGCCAAAGATACGATTACTTTAATATTGAGCGATCGTCGATTGTTTTTT